GATTGGTTCCATACTTGTAAGTAGTGTGAGGGCCCTCTACGATGGAAAGCACAAAATCTTTGCCGGATCGCAAGAATGCGATTCTCTGCTCTTCGCGTGCATAATCTTCGGCAGCATGGAGACGCACTTCCACGGTTGAAGGTTTCCTCCTCTTCATCCAGTCTTCAGTTGGAATCCAATTTTCATCTCTTTCTGGTTCGGTACGACCCTGATATGTCGCTCCAGGTCCAGATCGGAAAGCTGCATGGGTCGACGAAGATGCACCTCCGCCAGTCGATGATCTTGGCATCTTCTTCGGTTGAATGTTCGAACTTTGTGATTGCTGCGATGCCTTTGGTTGTGGTCCCTCCGGAGGAGTGGACGCACTCTGGGCACTTGGTCCAGTTGATGTATCATCATTTACCCATGAAGGTTCCTCATTGTTCCAGAAATCGACTTCGTCGGGTTTTCGTCCATCATTGAAGTTCAAGGGAATATCCCAGTTGTCAAAGTTGTGCATGTTGCCACCTGTTCCAGCTTGAGTATCGGTCATTGATGTTGTGAAATCTTCGAGGGAACTGTGGCAAGCATGACGCCTTTCTTTCTCAGTGTATCTGGCCCCTTCATCGGCAATCGAGACATTGTAACCATGTCCAATCAGGATTCCCTGAGGGATGTCAAAGACTTTGACTTTGAGGATCGAGAACTGGATCTCGGATAATTCTGCTATCTTCGACAAATTCCCATCTCCTCGAGCGCTGGTCTTGTGTCTTTCGAGTGTCGTGCCAAGGGCCAACAAACATAAGAAATGATTCTGGGCTGCACTCCTTCCTTTCGGTTGGTTGGTTTCAAAAGCGATCACATCTTTCATCACATCCTGCAAGATGATCTGATTCGATGGGGTCTGCTCGTTGTGATATCTCAACGCATGTCCTAGGTGCCTCATCTGGATCTCAACCATGTGTTTCATTGCCGTCAAATAGCTGTCATTGTCAGATGGAGACTTCGGATTCACCTTGGTCAGCTCGTCCATGACTTTGAAGTATTCGGCGGTCCTTGTCACAGCTAGCCATGATGTTGCACTTGGATCTGTGTTGAATGACGGTGTTCCTCGATAAATTTGTTTCATGTTTCGGATCTTCGCCTCAGTTTCTGCAGCAGTGGTTTGATCATCAAAAGGTTCGGGAAAGTGTCCTTTGGACAAAACGATCCAGAGTTCATCAAGTCTGTCGTAGATCTCTTTGTCCATGAAGCGTCCCATCGTTGCATCTTCATATGGGCATCTGCTGGCAAAGACCTTCACGAATCTCGACCCTTTTGATAAAAACTCCCATCCGGAACATTTCTTCTCAGTATCCTGCGCTCTCTGCAACAACTTGTAGGCTACTTCCAGGGCTTGCGCAGTTGCTTCACTGGTGTGCCTGGAGTTCGCGAAGTAAGCTGAGTAGACAACTGCAGGTGGCATGCCAAATCTAATCCATTGATTGGCATTGTCCTCATCTGAGATCAGGCGGAAATTCGAGCCTCGGGTGTCTCGGAATGGTGATGGAGTCTTGGCTGCAATGGTTCCTTCGGACAATCCTTTCAGCACTCGTATTGCAACGGTGATTCGGCTTCCTGAGAATTGCCCTACTGAGTTCAGATCATGGGTTTCGGCCATCCCGCTTTGTACAGAAGAAAGTTGTACGGACCGTAGGTCTCGTAACAACAACTCGAGCAACGGAAATAGTTGTACGGACCGTAGGACTCGTAACAACCAATCGGAGTCGAATTCAGAAAGCGGTCGACACGAAAATGAAAAGTGCCACAAAGAAAGAACCGAAGTTGATGTCAATCTCGAAAGGCACCAGTGCAGTAGCGATCGCTCGAACGAGTGGTCAATGGCGTCGAGCTCTCGAGTAGCACAAACGGATGTTGCCACCGACTTGATTGGGTGACTGCGGATATTCTCGGAATCACGAGACATTTCAGCTTTCAGTTGTTCATCACATGCAAGCGGTTTCCAACGTTTCATCACTTTGACGTTCACAAATGGACTATTCCTGGTTACATGATCATTGATTCCATTCATGATGATCTTGGCTATCCACTTGGTGTAAACTTGTGTAATGCGAGTTTCCCTACCGGCACACTCAGCATGATCATGACGGCGATCACATCTTCTATGAAGCTTTGGAAAAGATACCCCCCACGTAACAATCTTCCATGGTTTCTTGATTGGTTTGGGAGTCTCTTGGAACTGTGATTTCAAACCATACATGCATCCATCAAATTTGTGCTCATGAGATACGGTCCCTTCCACAAGGTCAGTCATTCTACGGTCCTTCCAATAGTCACAACCTCTACTAGGATGCCCCCCGGGACTTAAGGAGTTATAACTAAGTTATAAGTAACGTAACATAACTTATAAGTTGACTTATAAGTTGGTTAACTGGCTAAGTAGGTTCTAAGTTGATTGTTTTTTAAGGGACTTAGGTTGAACTTAGCTACTTACTAAGTATGTTGCATGTTAGGAGTCATGAACTTAGGATTTACTTAGGTTGGACTTAGCTTAGTTAGCTGTCATGATGAATTTTCATGTTTTTTTTTTTTTATGGCTAACTAGTTTGAGCAATTTTTCTTGTGGATTTGAAGAAAACAAGGTTGGGGCAGCAAGACTTTATTTGCGTCTGTGGCCGTTTTAAAGGAGAAGGCTCGAGTTTTGTTTTGGAAGGTTCCGGGCCCATCATGGCTATGCAGTTGGAGCGACATCTGAAGGCCTCGCAAACTTTCTTGGATGGGGTGAAAACCCTTCCCAACTTTAGAGAAATTCAGATTAAGCAACATGGTGAGTTGTGCCGCTGCCTTGCCAAAGTGGATAGCTTATCCACGGAAGTGTCGGGTCGCCTGTTGTCGCTTCTCGATCATGCACTGTGGGGTGACTATGCAGATCAGGTGAAGCAAGACATTGTGGCCCGCACGGGAAGTGAAGAGAAGGAACGGAGAGTCAATCAGGATTACTTGGCAGCCGTATATTATTTGCCTGCTTCCTTGGTTGCGCGCTTGGAATCGGATCGTAACCGCGCTCAAGTTTTGGAGCTGCTGTGCCAATTTTTGGTGAAGCTGGGTCTCCGTCATCCGACGGAGAAGACCTGCGGTCTCATCCTAGCCTTAGCTTTTGATTTTCACGGTGTTGCATTTGAAGCGGACAAGTGGCAATACACTGTGCTGCATAAGGCGACCATTCAAAGGCTGTTGGCCAAGCCAGATCCGCCAGCTTATGTGGATGTGTTGCCGGCAGATGTGTCACAGTGTCCACGTGTCCTCTGGGATGCAGCGTTGCCGGATGGCCAGCAACCGCAAGCTTTGCAGTTTGCCCCGGATGTTATGATGCGTGGTCGCGCATGGCCGTTGCGTGCGTCGCATCGGATTGCCGCGCAGACCGCGCATCCAAAGGCGGTTGGCGTTCAGTCAATGGATTTTTTTGCAGTGGGTCAGATGGCCGCTGGAATGATGGCCGCACCGGCCGCAAGGCAGACACTACGGACGCCAGCTCCGTCGCGTCCTGCGACGGAGAAGCCGCAACAGTTGCTGGCTTTGGAGGATGGTCCTGTTGAAGACATTGGTGTGCCTGCCTCTGCGCCAGAACCACCTGAGGTTGCTGCAGCTGCCGCAGTGCCCGATGCCGGCGCTACGGGTGTTTCCGCGACGTTGGCGGCTTTGAAAGGAGCTGTTCATGGCCAGACTGGCGAGACTGGAAAGAATGCAGTCTTGAAAAAGCCAGCCAGTAAGTCAGACCGGTTGAAAAAAGCTGAGAAGGACTGTGAGACGATGAAAACCTCACCAAAGACGCAGAAGAAGCCAGCGGCAAAGGTGTCCAAGTCGGCTTCCGCCAAAGCCGTTGCGAAGCGGCCAGCTGCATCCATTGCAAGTGGGAAAGACGTGACAAAGAAGAAGCAGAAGAAGAAGAAGCAAGGCGAAAGTAAAGCGCAGCTGCGCCACCGGCTGTTGGCGACTTTGCCTGCCAAAGTTCGTCGCAAGTTTCAGAATGGCTGTGCCCGTTGCCGCTGGCGGAAGGAATGCTGTCTGAGTTGCTGGCGCTTGCGAGGTTTCTTTTTGCAGTGAGAGGCCTATAGAGTTTGGATACACTTCCGAGACGTTGGGGGAAAAATTAAGAGAACGCAGGTGCTATATAGAGTGTTATGTGGTTTCTGCTCTCACCGTTTCCGCAGCTGTTTCTCCGTTTTGTAGGTGCCCCGGCTCAAACGGCGCGCTCGGCACCCGTTCTGGCTGCGACTCTGCTGTGGAGGCGCGGTTTCCACGGGAGGATATATGCCTATAATAGACTATATATCACGGCATATATGATAATGACTTCATGTATATGATTGCCATCATCTGCTTGAATGTCTCGTGTGGCTGGCGTTGCTGACTCAATCCCATGTGGATTGGACGGATACCTACGTGGTATCCTTGGAATAGACCTTCCTACGCGGAAGGCATCGCAATACCTACGAGGTATTTGACACCTTGACATCTCCCACGAGGAGATGCTGGGATAGAGTGATCTCTACGGGAGGTCACGAAGTTCCTACGTGGAACTTCAACATGCTTGCTCGTTCCTACGTGGACCGACGGCATGAAACTGTTACCTACGCGGTAACAGCGTGCAAACCCACGAGGTTTGTCCGGGTCCTACGTGGACCGAACGTGTCACCTACGCGGTGATGGAACTCGCACCTACGCGGTGTCGAGGCATTATAGATGGGTATGGCACGCCATGTTTTCGAATGGCCGGTGTCAAAACGAACGCACACCGACGCGGTGTGGAGAGTTTTGAATCAACATGCTTCCTGCGGGGGGGTGACCGGATCCATTCGGCCGCTATATTATTATATAACCATTGTATATATATGTCTGTATGTACATGGATGCTGCTGAATCTACACATCAGCAATATGAATACCAAACAGTTGTGTAAGAATATAATATATATGGATATTTCATGTGACCCCTATATATATACCTTGCTGCAGGTGCGCATGGACCTCGACTCTTCCGACGACGAGACGGTGTCGCAGAGCGGGGACGAAGCTGGGATGACTGCGAAGAAGACGAATACGGGGGAATCTACGCGATCCCCCTTCGACGCCATGGAGAAGAAGCCTTCGCGGGACAGAAACCGTGAGCGGACTGCCTCGCCGCGCTCCAGGTCGCGGCGGGGGAGGAGCTCCAGGCGCAGGGAGGAAAAGGAACGAAAGAAGTCCCGGTCTCGGACGGAACGAAAAGAGAAGCACAAGCGTCGCAGTGAGAAGAAGACCGAGGAGACACGACGCACAGAGCAACCACCGGAGCCTGCGGTGCCGCCAAAGCAGGCACCAGCGGTGCGCCTGACACCGAAACGTCCGCCAGAGGAGAAAACAAGGAAAGGCGCCGGACGAGTGCAGTGTCCGCACTGCAAAAAGTCCTTGACTACTGACCAGATCAGTGGGCAGAAGCAGCATATGTACATGAACTTGTACTGCCTTCGCTGTCAGTTCTGGAACAAGCTTCCGGAGGCCAAGAAAACCCAAGCATACTGGGACAAGACATATGAACAAGCAACGTTGCTGCGGGCCAAGCGCGAGCAGCAGGACCAGCGCGAGGCAGAAGCTGAGACGCAAAGATCTACGAGATCAGTGGCCAGCTCCTCCCACAGGTCCAAGTCCGCTGTTCCGCTGCCTCCGCCGATTCCGGTGCGGACACCGAGTCCAAGTGACGCGGAGGAGTCACCGGAGGAGAAGGCGGTGAAGCCCCGGAAGAAGACGGCCCGTGCTGGTAGTGGCCGGTCCGTGATCATCAACATAGCATGATCGCGCTGCTGTGTCGAAAATGGATATATAGAGAGGATGCGGAGCCGACAGCTGGAAAAAAGGTGCCTGGAGCCGGAGCTACTCCTCGTGCATGGAATCGGGGTTGAGACATGATCCAGTATATATATATATAGAATACGGTTATTGGAATATCTCAAAAAGAAACCAATATACTTTGAATCCTGGGGTATATTAGGTTCTCTCATTGACCCGAACAACAAACGTGTTCTCAGTGCATGCTGGTTCAAGGATTTGCTGTCCAGTGCACACTGCTGGTTCAAGGATTTGCTGTGTCGAACTTTTCGTGTACCTTCCATGCCTGTCCCCTGCCATTTCAATATCTCCCACGTAGATTTGGAAACGTTCCGTGCTGCGCTGCAAGCTGCTACCTCGAGCCAGCCCTCTTTGTGGACTTCATGGGAAACATGCTGGCTCACGGTTTCTGACTGCTTAGACCAGGCAGAAGCCCGTGCCTACGAGGCTGGAGATGTGGAGGGTGCCAAGCAAGTACTTCGTGTCAATAAGCTGATTCAGACGTGCCTGCACCCGAACTGGGATGTGGTGTCTCAGGATATGAGTCCTGAGAAGACCATTCTGTGCAGCATCTATGACTGGACAGATCAATGGTCCCGGTACAAACATGGCTTGGGATACTTCCACATGGAGCGATTCTCAGATGCAGCGGCTGACTTAAAGCGTCTGCAGGACAATCTCACGCTGCTGCCGGCCGCAAGCTGGGCCCACGAGGCTGAGAAGCAGGTGTCTCTGCTGTTGGTAGACTGTTGGAGCTTGCGACAGTACCGGCCATAGCATGGAATCAGTTGATTGCCTAGCGTGAGGAAAAGTCCATGTCCGCAAACTGTCCGCGATCGTCCGCGAATGTCCGCGGCTCTGTAAGCTAGATAAGATGTCCGCGATGTCCGCAAGCTTAGACAATATTTAACTAAGAAAAATAATAGGTGGAATCGGAACATTTGCACGTTGTCCGCGGAGAAACCTATGGAATCCGTTGTCCGCGGGTCTCAGTCAAAACTTGCTTCTTTCCGTAACATTTCTGGTTCGAGACTGAAAGTGGCTCGGTAGGTACCTGGCGTGACCGCGGTGACCGGTTGTTTGCAACCTTTGCCTTTTAGCCATGGAGATGCCTGCTGCGGAGGAAGCGAGCAAGCACCGCTGCACTCTGTGCAACTTGACCCACGCGGTCGAAAGTGGCAGAGTGCACGGTCGGAAGTTTACCTGCACTCCGTGTGCAAGCGCAGACAGACTTCTCCGTCGGGGACTCGGCTCCAAGGACGAGCTGCAAAACCTCAGTGTGGAGGAGCAACACAGCTTTTTCCAGAAGTTGGCGGTGGAAAAGGCCAACACGAAGGATTCCAGAATCGACTGGAAAACTGTGCGAGCTTGTCTTTTGACCTCCTTGACAACCCGACAAATGACGGAAAATTCAGCGGCTGTGGATACCCAATTCCTTCCGAAGGATGTGTGGCTGAAGCAAGGTTGGCCGGAACAAACCGTTCTGAATTGCCCTAAAGAGTGGAATGAACAGTACGGGTGTGACACATATCAGGTCCCAGTGAAGAGCATGACGTGGAAGCAGACGTATCAAGCCGTTGAAGAGAGAATTCTCCGTCAGGAGAAGGAAGCGACGGCCAAGCGCAAGGCCCGCCCTCGTGGTGCTGGGGCAGCGGAGCCGGAGGAGGCCTTGGATTTGCCGGCTCCTGAGCCTGCCAAGAACGGAGATTCCTCGGCGGCTGCAGAGAAAAAGGCTGCCAGAGCTGAAGCTGCGCAAGACAAGAAAAATCAAGCTTCGAATCAGAAGATGCAGCTGCTGGCTGCGAAGGCTGTCGCACCTCTGGCTCAGGATCTCCAGGCCCTGACCAAGCTACGTGCTCGGGTTCCTGGTGATTTACCAGAACCGATCCAAGCGGTCTACGAAGACAATGTGGGAAAGTTGCAGCGTTGGAGCCAAGCTGCCAAGGGCCTTCTCAAAGACTGGGAAGAGGAAGCGGCCCAGACCGGTAAAGTGGCTTTGACCGCTCCGCCGTTTGACATGGCTGATGTGAAGTGTCTCCACAAGACTGTGGTGGAGGTGCAGGCCAATTTGCGTCAACACTTGCCGGTGCCGAAAGCCAAGGCGGCTGGTAAGCGCAAGGCGGCAGGGGCAGGAGCAGAAGCCACGGACGCGGCAGCTGCGGAGGAAGGCGGCGCAAATCCACCTGCTCGCCGTGTGCGCTGCAAGGGAGGAAACAAGTGAGCGAGCTCATGTGAGTCTCGACAATTTAATTTGCTTTAGAGAGTTGACTTTGGACCTCTCGTTTTGCTCTATAGTTGAGCTTTTCAAAGCGAAGGTCCGTTCCAAGTACCAAATAGAAAGTGAGGCAATCCGTGCTGACTATCTGCAGGGGAGAAGCAGAAAGCAAAAGAAATGCATTGCCGCAGCCTTCCACAACAAGAGGATCGAAGTGTAACACAATTCTTTGCACGGCAATGGCCTTCAGACCTTGTTTGAGTTTCTGCAGCAGATCTAGGTTGAACGCATCCAACTTGGATAGCCTATATAGACCATATCGGTCAGCATATCTCATCTATATGATAATGCATATCTATGTGTCTATCGTATCTATTTATCTATCTATCTCTCTATCTACCTATCTATATATGTATATATATATATATATTGACATCATTATACCTCTATACCCCATAGCCACGGATCCTCATATAGCGATACCATGTCCGTTATATATATATATAGGGTATGTATATATATATATATATTATATAAAACAATATGGAAATGCAGTATTCCCCATGATATCTCCATACAAGTGCTGCACAGATGCATGCAGTGCCTCACTGTGGCAGCTGGGCGGCTCGGGTAAAAACACTGGCAGCACACGGGCATTTGGTAAGGTTCAAACAACTCATGCAGGGGCAAATATGCAATCTATGTAAACGGGTATATGCCTCTGGGAATTATTGGGGTACATACTAGACAAACTCATTAAAACACAGTCTCTTTGCAGATATTTTTTGCGTTGTTCTCCGGAAAACTACGATGGCAGCACTATGGCCTGCCTTTGCCTGATGGACAGCTATGAAACGCAAGAAGTTGCGTTCATCTGATTCCTTGTCGAATCAGTATCGGTCTGTAAGACAGATCGGTTCCTTGACTGCCGCTGAATGCAGGAAAGTTGTGCAGTTGGTTCGGGATGATGACAGAGGTGGTGGCACGGCTAAGCGCCCAAGTGTCAATCATCCCAAAGCGTTCCCGTGCCTTCGTGAACTATCGCTGCAGGAAGTGGAAACGGGTAGACCTCTGAAGGCCTGGAGCATGAGTTTGCCTGCATTGGTGCAAGCCAAGATGGACGCTTGTCCCTTGTATCGTCTTATGATGCAAAGGGCATTGAAAAAAAAACAGAACCATCTCAATCTCATCTTTTATCAAGATGAGGTATCGGGTGGTAACATCTTGAGTCCAAATCACTCCAGAAAAAGTAATCTTACTTATTTCACATGGCTGGAATTTGACGTCATTTTTCTGGAAGATCTATGGCTCACCCTGGGAGTGACTCGCTCCAAAGAAATTGCCGCCATGGACGGGGGGATGGCTGCGTTGACCAAAGCCATGCTGTTGCAGATACGATCTGAAACAGCCAATGGCTTCGTGGTCGATTTGGGATCCATGGGGGAGCCAGTGCTTTGCTTCATAGATTCTGTCATTCTGTTGATGGATCACGAGGCGATTCGAGCTTGCACTGGCACGAAGGGTGCCAGCGGATTGAAATGCTGCATCAAATGCCTCAATCTCTTGTCCCTAAATAAGGCCGCAGAAGTCAAAGACCACTTTGATATCAGCCACGCTGATCTATCCAAGTTTTGGCCGGCCACTGATGGCTCTGTCAGAGCAGCAGCGGACCGCTTGAGAGCAGAAGCAAAAAAAAGTATAAAACAAGAACTCGAAAAACTCTTGGGCTGGAACGCTGCGATGTTGCTGGCTGGTCCATTGACGGAGCCTGCTTTGGAGAAGTGGGTTTCCGTTGAGACAGTTCACTTTGACACCATGCACGCTTACTATAGCAACGGCATTATCGGATGTGAATTGGGCCATTGGTGGCAGCTGGTGCAGCAACATGCCCAGGTCACTCTCGCACAGCTCGCAACGTATGCGGCGATGTGGCAACGTTGCCCGAATTCTCCTGCGGCAAAGCAAGCGGCGCCGCAACACTTCTTTGAAGAAAAGTTGTGGCGAGACGGTGGTGATTTTCGAGGGGAATGCGCTGCATCTGCATTGGCGCTCATTCTTTGTGTTGGGTTTTCGGAAGAAATTCTCACAGAGATTTCGGCATTGCAAGCAGCCGTTGCTTCCCTCAAATCTCTCGACGAGGTCGTTTCTGTATTGGCTGAAGCCAAAAGATATCCACCAGCAGCCACAACACTATTGACCAAGCAGCAGGCGCACATGAGATGCTTCACTGAAGCTTACTCAAGCCAATGCATGCGACCCAAATTTCACTATGCCTTGCATACAACGGCACAAATTCAGAAGTTTGGTCACCATATCGATTGCTTTGCATGCGAAAGGAAGAACAAAGCATACAAGGCACGCGCGGCATCCAACTGGAGCAATTCTCCTGCGTTCTCCAAAGGAGTCTTACTTGAACTTGTCACGCAAGACTTAAACAATGCCTTGCCCGAGGAAAAATTTGGGCTTCGAGTCCTAAGAGGACGTATGAATGTGTCTGGCTCAGCACCGTCCGACCTTGCCTCAGAAGCGACTGAGTTGGAGTACAAGTGTGTCACGTATAGCCGAAACCAATTTGTCCGGCTTTTAGATGGCACCACTGCATGCATTCAATTCTTTCGCTGCCAAGGTGAAACGGTGCAAGTGTATCTGCAACGGATGAAAAAAGCAAAAGACAACGGAGGTTATGCAGCTCTTGCAACTTGGAACTACGTCCCTGGCGCTCATGAGATAACGGATGCAAAGCGTCTGGACCAAAGTGTTTCACCACAATACTTTCGAAGCAACGATGATGGATCCATCAGCCTCTTGTGGTGAAAAAAGACCTCTGGTACCTGTGTGAAAACGATATAAAATCAAACAAAACCAGGCCTAAACCTAAATAAAGCAAAATACACCTGAAAACGCTTAGAAAAACTTAGCTACTTATGACTGAACTTATAAGTAAGTTATAAGTCCATCAAAAATACTTATACTTAAGTCCACTCTAACTGACTTATAAGTCCATAAGTCCCGGGGGGCATCCTAGTAGGCAATTCAAGCAAGGCTGGTGATCCCATATTGATAAGTTCACTTAGCACTGATGCAAACACTTCCCACATAGCCCAGAAGATCTGCTTCTTTGCTTCGATGAGTTGTGTCGTTGCTTCGCTTACCCATCGGTTGATTCGGTTCCATGGTGAACCTCCTGTACATGGACCTGCAAAGAACACTGAATCAAGTTTGGTCCGAAGGCATCGCCTTGCTTTACTGATTCCGTATGGAGAGAGCATGTCGTCATCTTCAGTGATTGGTACGACATGAAACTTCATTTCGTCCTTCATTTTGTTCTGCAAGAACGTAAACCAGTTTCTCTCTTCCGAACATAACAAGACGAAGCATGGGACTGCTTGAGGAACTTCGATCAAATTGATTGCAAGGGAAAACTTCGCATACTTTGATGTCATCAAGTCACAAGGTGATTTGGAAAATTGAAATTCCAAAGTTCTGTTTTTCTTTTCTCTCCAAAGGATTACCGACACTTTGGGATGGTCAACCTCATGTTTGCCTACTTCAATGTGATATT